GTATAAGAGAAAAAGAAATGTTAGATTATCTCGAAAAAATTGAGAACTATATTGAAGTTTGTCAACAAACCAATTTCTCAAAGGTTTTAGCGTCCATTATATAGTGGATGAAGCCGCTTTAGCATTATTAGTAGAGAGGACTTAATAGAAAATTTAATACTTCATTCTTTATCGGTACTGATAATAGGGTGACCATTCTTATAATATATATATTTACAGAAAATATTTTTCTTATACGAGTATTGTATCGATTCGAATCTGTACATTAAATATTTTTTGTAAAATCTTATTGAAATAGTCTTTATTATCGATACAGAGGTCGAATCTATATTTTGTAGAATTTTTGTCTGTCTGTCTGTGACCGCATTACGAGAAAACCACTGGACAGATTTTGATGGGTATGATGATAGCATTATCCGGGATAATAGGTATATAGGATACTTTTTACTGCAGGAAAATAACTGATCACTGAGAAATCTATACTAAGCGTTAAAACGTATCTAGGGACGAACCCGAGCGGAGCGAAGGTGAGTCGCCAATATTAAATAAAAAGGAATTTAAATAAAATTTTATATTTCGGTACTATAACGCCATCTATGTTTGATAGCTTGTACTTTTTTTAGCTCTATTTGTGTTCTATTCCTTTTCATAAATTTCTATTTACCAATTAGTTGAAGCAGTCAACAATAGATGGCGCAATTTTATCTAACTTATAAGATTATGCTCAGATTTATAATATAGTTGGAATTGTTTTGCAAAAATTATGTATTATTGTATAATACGATGTTGAGTTTATTTCGCCACTTCTTCTCAGGTCTGAGGCTTTTTCTTTCCGAACTGGTAGTAGACTCATGACGTTAAGTAAAAAATTATCATAATTTTGATGCTGAATAAAATATTTTGAATTGAGCATTATCGCATCAATTTTTTGTCTGTTTTTAATTTTTATTTTTCTTAAATTAATCATTTATTCTTATAACCTATCTAATATGTTCATCGGTAACACTATAAATAGTAAGCACTTAAGCGAGCTTTTCGTATATGCATAATTTTGCCAAAGACTATACCACGTAGAACACAGCAGCTTTCATCCGATCACTGAAGTTAAGCAAAGTCGGGCGCAGTCATTACTTGGATTGGGCAGGACCGGATTCAATCTTACCACCGCCCCTGGGCATAGTAAAAAATGCCGCTCAATTATCTAAATTTTGCATAAAATGAGTAAATTTTCGATAAAGTTCAATTTTTTCTTAATCATTTTTTGGAAAATAATGAAAGCGTTTTCAATAACGCGAAGAGATTTTTTTCCCACCCTCCGAATTTTGTCGCCCCTAAAAATTGCACTAGTCCCGAGTAGTGCCCCTAATGTAAATCCAACGCTGTGGATGTGTGACCGTCTGGGAACATCGCGTGATTGTTGACTCTTTGTTTGTTGCTTCCACTGAACACTAAACAAACGAAAACGAAACACTACTCTCTAAGCGAACGATCGTTTGGTATGTTCTGTCGCCAACGTCCATACCACGTTGAACACACCGGTTCTCGTCCGATCACCGAAGTTAAGCAACGTCGGGCGCGGTCAGTACTTGGATGGGTGACCGCCTGGGAACACCGCGTGACGTTGGCTTTTTGCTGAATTATCTTACCAACGAGACATTCGTAGTCCGTTAAATTTATATTTTACGCCTATTATATTGTATTCAGTGGTAGTAGCAAAGTATTACGTTATTTAATTTAATCTTTTTTTATTACTAACTAAACAAAATAGCATGAAAAAAATCATAAACTAAGATTGTTTTTATGGTCACCCTACACTAGCGTGCTTAAACGAATAGCACATGGCTCAGACACAAGGGTCCACACTACTTAAGTACTTAGGGATAAAGATTTAACTTTGAAATTTATACACTATGCAGTATAACTTTATTGGGCCAAGAAATAAATTTTATATGATCCTACTTGTAAATGAAATTGGATAAATATTTATTTTTCAAGGAAAATATGCCAATGCTTTTACTAAAACTTGATTTTCCGCTTAGTAAACTTTTAAATATTATATATTTCCCTTTTTTTTAGAATTCTTCATTTGAAGAAAAAAATAGAAAAAGATCCTATTAGATATTATAGTCTATACATATAATAAAATTGTGACTAAGCCGAATCTGTACATTAGATATTTTTTGGAAAATCTTATTGAAATAAACATTATTATCGATACAGAGGCCGAATCTATAGTTTTTAGAATTTTCGTCTATCTGTCTGTTTGTCTGTCTGTCTGTTACCGCATCACATAAAAACCACTGGAGGGATTTTGATAAAATTTGGTATGTTGATAGCTGGTCATCCGGGTCTACATATATGATACTTTTTACCACGGGAAAATATCTCATTTTTGAGAAAAAATATAAAATATGCAATGTAAGAGTATACTAATATGGCAGGGCAATGCTAGTATAGTATTATAAAATCTGTGCCTATATTATTGACACTTGCAAATAATCATCATAATGAGGAATACCGCACTTGAATTCGCCGCGAGAGTGCGCTAGTGTAGAGTGAGGTCTTAATTATGGCAGACACGGTACGGATCTACAAATGTAATATTGCTTTAAAAGAAGAGCTAAGAAAAAAAACAATATTTTATGTATTATTATATAATAATTATTTAAAAAAAACTAATAAACTGGTACCGCCCTAATAATATTATATTCATTATATTAAATTTATGGACCTGCAGCACTAACGAGTACTTTTTCAACGACAGCGATAGAACCTTACTCGCTAGTGGCGCCAACTGGTGCCACCAGAAACGTAATTTAAAAATGGAAATAATTTCTTATACTTATTTATAGCTTAAATTCAATGTACACAGTTGCCATTTTTCCTTAAAATATTTTTTGTTGAATGTGCCTAGGAAACTATTCTGTCGAATTATTTCTAGAATTTTCCACTTCATAATTTAAAATTCTTTTAATAGATAATACCTTCTTAGATTAACGGGAATGTTAAACATCTTAAAATAACCATCTTTTGGGATTTTTCACGAATTAATTTAAATTTTTGGTTCTGTTTTTTGTTTTAATAGATGCTTTTAATAAAAAATTGAATATTTTTATACGTTTTAAAACAAAAAAGTTTTATAACCACACCTTTTAATTAAAATTATATGCAAAGACGGGAGCAGAAGTTATGTATTAAGCTAGATACAATTTACTCTACATTTTACATCCGTTTCTTGTTGCTGTACACTTTATTATGAAACTAACGGCTGTTACGAAATACGTTATCGTTGACCTATGATGATCTTAACCCCAATAACCCGGAGATGCGCTATTTTATAAGTCACCTGAGTTATTAATTTTTAATGAATTTACTTTATAGGTTATATATATATATATTTATATATATTTATATATATATATATATATATATATATATATATATATATATTATTAGGTTACTATGAAATAGAAAGACTATTATTATATATACATATGTATAAAATAAACTTCTGAACTTTTCGATTTCGATTTTCCACTATTATTTTTTATACTTAAACCACCCCTGACACACCCCCAATACGAAGTAAAACTTCTTGGACAAATATCGCAATTAAATTGAAACAAATCAATAATTATATAAAAAATGATCATATTATTTATGAAGAATATATATATATATATTATATATATATATATATATATATATATATATATATATATATATATATATATATATATATATATACATATATATATATATATATATATATATATACATATATATATATATATATATATATATACATATATATATATATATATATATATATATATATATATATATATATATATATATATACATATATATATATATATATATATATATATATATATATATATACATATATATATATATATATATATATATATATTTGTCAGACAATAACAACGGTTACCATGGCAACAATTAGTCATAATAGCGTGTAATATATTCTATCTCACTCTCTCGCCAGCTTAATCGTGCTTAATCATATTTCTATTTCATCCAGTTTCAAATCACAACGATTCTAAAGCAGTTTCTCTGAAAAAGTATAATTCAAATCGGTCCAGCCGTTTTTGAGGCTTAGCAAGAATAACGAACCGCAAACAGCAATAGATTTTTATACACATAAATGGATAACAAAAATACTCTTTTTATTTTAAATGAACAAACTGAACTTAAAATAAATGGTCAATGTTATTTTTAATATTATATACATTAGATTTAAGAATTGTATTGCAATAAAAATTCTAGACACTAGTAAAGTTATATTTGTAGTTCCAAAGTCATAATCAAAAAATCAATTCTACCACTAACTACTTACAATAAGTAGAAAAAAAAATTATACAAATTAATTTATAATAATTAATAAGTTATCGCAAGAAACTTTTATATATAAGTAATTAAATTATTTCCATACAAAGATCAGAATCAGATTTTTTTTATGTCTTGCATAAATGCAAAATTAACTATTTAAATGGTAATTATTAAGTATGTATTTTGTTATTTATTATAATATTATTATACCTAATGTTCGTAAAAATATTTCAAAGTCAAATGTAATAGTCAAAAATATTTAGTTAATGCATATGAAATCATATACCTACGGTACTTATAAGAAAAACATATTTTTAATATTTTGGATTGTCTGTCTGTTAATTTGTTCCGACTAATCTCCGAAACGGCACCCGAGCGAAGCAAGGATAACTCACTAGTATTAACTAAATTAAATATTAATATATAATATTTTTATTGAAAATTAACACTAAAGACATCACTAAAAGAGATACATAATTAGCAAACGTATAATACTTTTATCGACAGAGCGATTACACATCACTCTCAAAGTACAAACCAGTTTAGTCCGAGGCATAGCCGTACTACAAACGGTTGTCCAAACACTTGTTTAGTGACTTAATTATTGATTAATATTGATAAAAATATAATAATAAGGTAAAATGTTGAGACCATTGTTCCATATATCAGTGGTGGCCATAAATTCCTTCGTTCTGTGCTATGATCAATTATACATAGATCTACCCATGCCTAATAAGGCTATGGAAAAGCTGCCTTTAAGGTCAAGGAGCATGTTTTTAACTATTTGGTGTTTAGTAAGTACTTTTTACTACCTTCATAATATATATTTTTTTATGAATATTTTTGTATAATTATATTTATTTATATAATATTATTATATTTATTTAAATATATATATTATTTCATTAGAAATATTATGTTTACTATATAATCTGGCTCGAATGCATATTTTAACACAAAATTAAGATTTTTTTGTTTGAGATTATTATTTATACATTCATAAACAGAATAATAACTATGTAATCCAGTGGTTCCCAATTGGTGGTCTAAGGAACCCTTGCGTTCCGTGGAAGGGTCACACGGGTCACGAGTTCCGTCCGAGAGTTAAATAAAATGTTGTCAGACTTGAAGGCTTATTTTAGTGCTCTTATAAATGAATAGCGTCGGAACAAAAACCGATAAATCACATTTGTGTTTTTGTGGAAAAATGAAAAAATATGGCCAAATTCATGGTTTTCTAATTTAGAGTTAAACGAAATCTATTAATTTATTGGTGTCAGCATCACTGTTTGGAAACCTAAATTCTGCATTCGTGACTGTGGTACCTGTTGAGTTACAAAAAAAAGAAAATGGATATATCGGTTATTAACCAACTGGATATATCGGTTTTTGAGAGAATCAAAAGAGTCAACAATGAAAAATGTTAAGGATTTATCGGTATCTTTTCCGATACCGTTGTTGATGTAATTAACGGTTATGTTCAGATCCGGGTATTTCGCGGACGGATTTAAAGCGGATTTTCAGGTTTCGACCAGGTTTCATTAACCATAGAGCAAGATATGTACGAGAACAACCAATTGGCATCATAAAAAAATGTCAAAATGTGATTATCGGTTTTTGTTCTGACGCTCCTCAAATTCTACTAATATTAAAAACGCGAAAGTTTGTGAGAATGTATGTATGGATGTATATTTGTTTGTTACTCTTTCACGCAAAAACTATTGAATGGATTTTGATGAAACTTTACAATAATATAGCTCATACATCAGAATAACACAGACTACTTTTATCTCGGAAAATGTACGGTAATTTAGTACAGTAAATATTATTATGAGTTCATTCAAGTCAAACAAGAAAATATTCTAAGTACAACACAATTACTTTAGTTACTATCAAAATGGAGATCCGTTCAAATTATTTTGATCAATTAGAGTTCCGTGGTGGAAAAAAATGGGGAACTGCTATATACACTATATACATACACTTAGAATATAAATATTTTTTGTACAACTGGCACGCTTTGAAGCCATTAACAATAAAATTGATTTAAAACATAATACGAATTTTAACATTATTAATTTTTCATTAAAAATATGTTACCTGTATATATTCTATCATATCATATGCAGAAGTATACATATAGTAGGGTGAATCAAAAAGTTCTTAGAAACGAGTTATATATACATATATAAAACCTTTTTTGGGACAGTTCGATGCTCGTTTTAAAGAGTGTTAATTAAACAATAATCACTTGTTTTTATCAGTCCATTCGCACGTAATTAATTATTTTGTACAACGAGTTGCTAAAAACGCAAAATTATGGAGAAAAAAGAGTTACGCGTGGTCATAAAGTATTTGTGCCTGAAAAAAATATCCTCGAAGGAAATTTTTTTGGACATTCACCTTAGGGGATAATGCTGTAAGCTACTCGTATTCTATGGTTGTGTATTGTGTGGGTGATACATTAAGATGACTCATATATTAAGATATTATATAAATTCTATTCATATATGTTTCCCTCTAATTTTCAATAATGATACCACGGTAATGTTACATACAGTATTCCATCTTCATACAAACGGTCGTCTGGAAAAGCATATAGGCTTTTTATCCCTAAAAATGTACGGTTCCCGTGGGAAATTTGTTTTTCAAAGCGAGGGTGAGTCGCTAGTATCATATAATAGTTAATAATTAACATAACGATTGAAAACGAAATATACAAAACCACTCTAGAAATTAACAAAAACTTTATTCACGAGATTATCTTAAACAACAATCGTTACGCTCGTGCAAGGACTCTGTTCATTCGCAATTTACCTCCGTAATTAATTGTAATTATTCAATGTCACTTACAATTGTTAGATATTAAGATATTATAAAACTGGTGGAATTACACTCGCTTTATCCGAGCCTTAGTGCTTATTTGTACAAACTATCAATAGTTTTTTTTAACTACGCCTTATTTCTAAGATTTACATCTTATATATAAAATTTCCATGTCACAATGTTAGTTACCGTACTCCTCCGAAACGGCTTTACCGATTTTTACCAAATTTTATATGCGTATTCAGTAGGTCTGAGAATCGTCTACTATCTATTTTCCATAACCCTAAGTGATAAGGATAAGGGTGGTCCTCCCAGACCCCACCCCAGGGACGAACCCGAGCGGAGCGAGGGTGAGTCGCTAGTACATATATAGATAAAGTACATGTTAAAAGTAAAATGTGTATTTTATTTCAATAGAATTAAATATAATTGACATTTAAAAGTCAATTCTGTATAAAAAGTTTTTTATCGTCGTATTCGTCCACGAATATGCACTGAAACGACGTAATATTATACAAGTCAGTTCTCAATAACATATACAACATCAATTCTCACAATCAAAATGCAGTCCGATCCTATATGTAATATGGGTAATACTTAAACTACCTATATTGTGTTTTTACGGAATGAAATATCACCATTTTTTTATTGTAGTGTATGAATTTGTCAAAATATTACAACCCAGTATTTTTTTTTTATATATATAAGAAAAGACTACAAAATTGACTCGCCCATCAATATTTATAAGTAATCAATTATGAGTTCTATTTCCAATGAATAAGGTCTCATTAACATAAGCAATTAAAAGTCCAAGTGCAAATCCGACTCGTTTCTGGCCAGTCCATTGTTTTACTTCGTAACTAATATACCTAATCATAAGTATACAAGTAAGTTATATGTAACTAACATAGGTAGGTACATAAAACGTACTTCTTTATTATATATTATGCGTAGCACTTTACAATAAAGCAATAAAAAAAGTTAACTAAACTGTTCAAGAAGCGGGCAAAATGACATTTATAACCATTATTATACACTTGCGATTTTACATTTCCGGTTCCGTTTGCCACCCTAGATAACAGAAGGTACCCAATGACCAAATGTTACTCCAGCTCATATTGTGTGTTCTATATTTCAATTTAAGTCCGTTCTGCTATTTCAACGTGAAGGGGTATCAAAAATGTACATTCATACAAATTATCGTGTTTATAATGATTCTAACGAATTACGCTTTGCTTCGGTAAAGGTCAAACAGTCTCTCCCGTGACCATGATTGCTGTAAAGCAATCATGGTCATCAAATCAATGAAACGTCGGGAACCAAAAATCCAAATAAATCCGCAAAATAATCTAAAAAGATAGTTTTATTTAAGAAGAAGTAACACACAACATACACACAAATCGCAATTATAATTAACGATTAGTACGAAATAGACTATACATTAGTATATAATATAATAGTATATAATACTGAAAAATTATTGATTCCCCATATAATCTTTCATCCCTCTTTTCAACCCCTTAAGGGATGATTTACGAGATAAACTTCCCAGAATCTCAAACTACCTTCATAGCAAAATTCATCTAAATTGGTTCAGTAATTGCTGAGATTACTTCCTATTAACAAACTCACAAACTTACAAACTTTACCTCTTTATAATATTAGTGTAGATAATGTAATAGTATATTCTATCTATCTATTCTAACCAATGTAATTTCATTTTTACAGATACTCCAAACAGTATACCACTTCATCGCGTTTTTGAACGACATCGCAGGCTCGAACGCGCCTTCATCCAAGAGGCCTCCTATAATCCGACGAATTAAAGACGTCTTATTCACTCTATCATTTTGCGTAGCAATCTACGTATCTTTTGCATTTTGGAGCATATACGCCATAGATAAAGAACTTATATTTCCAGACCACATCTCTAAGTTATATCACCCAAGTTTTAACCACGTCATGCATTCCACAGTCTCATTGTTTATAATAATTGAACTTTTAACATCTAATATAAATTATCCATCGCGGAAAATTGGATTTTTTGTTTTATATACGTTTCTATTGACTTATGTCACATGGTTCTTCACAGTATTTGCAAAAACGAACGCATGGGTCTATCCAATATTTGCACATTTAAACTGGCCTGCAAGAATTTTATTTATAAGCATTAGTTTATTAATCGGAGCGATGTTTTATATTTTGGGTGAAAAATTAAACAGCGTTGTTAGTTCGAGCCCTCAACAAAGTTACGCTAATGGCAACACTAGTAGTAAAGGTAAAAAGAAAAGAACGTAAATAATAAATTATTAAGAAAAAATTATTTTTTTTTTTTAATTTATAAACTTAACTTTTAAGTATAGAAATAAGTAAACAGTAATATATGTTTTATTATCGTGTCCCGAGTCAAGTGGAAATGGTTATTGGATGTTTTTGCTAAGAAATTCTTAAGAGTATTTATTAACAGCCCGAAGTTGGGATGTTGACGAACACGTAAGGATTGTATCTATTAATTACGTAAGCATGGAGGTAATTAAATAAATATAAATGTGTTGGGACATTTACACAGAGCCCCCTCTAGTTACATGGTAAGCTACGAGGCTTGTGTTATGGATACTAGATAGTTGATACACTACACATATATAACTTTAAATAAGTACATACATATCTATACATATAATAAAATGGTAACTTAATATTGTTTGGAAAATCTTATTGAAATAAACATTATTATCGATACAGAGGCCGAATGTATAGTTTTTAGAATTTTTGTATGTCTGTCTGTTTGTCTGTCTGTCTGTAACCGCATCACATAAAAACCACTGGAAGGATTTTGATAAAATTTGGTATGGTGATAGCTGGTTATCCGGGTCAACATATAAGATACTTTTTACCGCGGGAAAATGTCTCATTTCTGGGAAAAAATACAAAAACTGCAATTTAAGAGTATATTAATATGTAAAATCTAAGAATTTGGTTTTTGGTCATCTGAACGCGGGCGAAGCCGTGGGCAATGCTAGTTATAAATATGAACACACATCACTAGAGTACAAACATTCGTGCTCATCACATAAATAAATGCCCCCCGCGGGGGTCGAACCCGCGACCGCTGGCACAGCAAGCACTTCAAATGTAAATAATAGATAAAATGTGCCTGATACTGAAGAAAAAAAGGTAAATGAAAATGAATGAGATTCTCCTGTAGTCGATACCTTTTGATATCGTAAATGTTGACTCGAGTTATAAGCTACCACTTCACAAAATTTAATTAAAATCGGTTCAGTACTTTTTGCGTGTAATAACGCGCACGTCGATTTCGCTAAGTTCCTGTATTTCTTATATATACCTATAGATAAAAGTAGGTATTGCGATTGTACCTTAGCAGATAGACATACGTTATTAGGGACTTTTTATAAGCCTTTATTATACCTACGATATTCTAGTGCATTGTTTTATAAATTGATAAATACAAATTGTTATGTACGTCTTAGATGTCTAGGTTTAGACAGCGGAAGATTTCTAAGAACAACTCGATAGAACCAGTTATTGTATTTTTCCGTGGGAAAGAAAGATTTTCCTGAAGTAAAAGGTATCCTACATGTTGATCCGAGTAATAAGTTATCATTTCACAAAATTTCGTCGTTAAGATTCGTCGCGTCGACCCATTAGTTTTTGCGTGAAACGCACACACACAAACAGACATACGTAACAGACAAAAATTTTAATAACTATTGTTTTGGGATCTATATTGTGGACATTAAATACGTTACAGTCATTGTTTTTAAAAAATATTTCATATACAGATTTCGCTAAGTTACCCTTTTATTATACATATGTATAGATATAAGTATGTATAGATAATAACGATTCTTTGATACCATTACAAAGAAAAATAATATGAGGAAAATATAAGCATTTATAATGTTGACCAGCATTGCCCGCGGCTCCGCCCGAAAACCTTATTCTTTGGTTTTACATATTAGTATAGATACTCTTACATTGCAGTTTTTGTATTTTTTCTCAGAAATGAGGCATTTTCCCGCGGTTTAAAATATCTCATATCGTATATGTTGATGTTATGTATATATCGTATATGTTGAGCCGGATAACCAGCTATCACCATACCAAATTTCATCAAAATCCCTCCAGTGGTTTTTCTGTGATGAGGTAACAGACAGACAAAAATTCTAAAATCTATGGATTCGGCATCTGTATCCATAATAATATCTATTTCAATAAGATTTTCCAAAATATATTTCATGTACAGATTCGGCTTAGTTACAATTTTATTATATGTATAGATCATGGACGAATTAGAATTCGTTCATGGTATAGATGTATAGATATAAGTATATATAGATAATAACGATTCTTTTATATCATTACAAGGAAAAAACAATATGAAGACAATATAAGCATTTATAATGTTGATTTAAGAATAAACTGCCACTGGTAATGCTGATGAGCCGCACAATAAAGGTACGAATGGACACTAGATATATACCTACTTGCAAATATAATTGTCCGTCAAATACTTTTTTAAATTTATTAAGCTGTATATCTTAATAATTTTGAATAATAAATAATTATAATTAATAAGTTAAACAAACAAAAAAAATATATACAAAAACCGATGTTGAAAAATTAAGATATTTGATCATACTAAGAACTGATAGTTGAACAGACAGACGTGTCCAACCTTGTTCATAAATAAAATATATTTAAAATAAAATATAAGTAGTATAAAAATTTCTATAAATTATTATCGAAAATGTATCGGGAGCTTTTTCATATATCAGTGTTGGTGATAAACTGTTATTCCATGTATTACGATCGAGTGTACATAGATCTTCCATTGCCTGCCGAGAAAATGAATAATCTACCTCTGAAATCACGGAGCATGTATTTGACCGCTTGGTGTTTAGTGAGTATTGTTTTTCTAAATTTTACACAACGGCAACCTTACATAGCACCTGCGTACGTACCTGGTTATGTAGGACTCACCCAGAAAAGCCAGTACTACCCACTAAAACCCAATCGCCCCGATGCGCCCACGCCGGCTGGATTGCCGAACGCTAATAAGCCCCACACCACAAGGTGAACAAACATCGGGGATGACATGGATACAACGGCAACCTTACGTTAGCCTAATAATTGCCATATTATATGTCAAATGTCCTGGGCCCTGGGTTCGAGTCCCTGAAATAGTCAGAAATCCATTAGCAGCCGTTGGTTAGAGAACTTTTCGATTGGGTCAGCTAACTATTAAACTATGAAAGTGAAGCAATAGCGAATGTGTGTCTTTACATAGGTACCTACATATATTTCTGAATTATAACCTATATTACCACCTATCTACCTATATAAACCTATACTAAATAAAAACTTCGTGCCGCGGAGAGCACGTAAAGCCGTCGGTCCTGCGCCTTAACTCTCACCGGCAGTGGCGGCCTTAGGGGGTGGCAAGCAGGGCAACCGCCCGGGGCCTCGCTCTTGTAGGGGCCTCGCGCCTTCGCATAACAACCCAAGTGTATCAAAATCTCCTGCCCCACGCCGGACATTACAAAACCCATATCGCGCCAGTACAAGCATGTAGCGCTTAAGTCAATAAGCCATTAATATTAAATTTCACGTAATTGTAGTAATTATAGTAAAGAGTGAATTAGTAAAAAAAGTGCGTACAACTGCTTGTAATTTTTATTAATTTTATGTGCAAAAAATATTTTCTAATTGAGTTCGCGCGATTGTGATGCCCGTAGAAATATTGAGTTTGGTAGTTCAAAAACGCATCAAGCCATCAAAAGAAAGCAGATAGAAAAAAATCTGTATGGGTCTGTATATAAATATATAAAAGGTGATGGTCAAGAAGCTTCTAAGTCCTTAAGACTTTTCAGTGACTAAAAGTGACATGTTATTGCATTCTAAGCCTAAAGCAGCTGAAATAATATTTCGACGTCGTCTGGAATGCCGTTGCTACCAAGCGATGATAATAGTAAGTAAACAACATCATCGTTACTCCACCGCCGTAGCGGTCGTCAGCACTATCCAGCCAGAAGTACGTATCTAAATCTATGTCTACATCCATGAGTGGCGGAATTGAAAATCTTATACTCCATACTTAAAATGACCCAGGTTTATGGCCGTCAACCAATACTGATGCAAACCGAACTAAGATTTCATTGAAAGGTCCAATCCGCGCTAAGACAGATTTTTTTCTGTAAACGATAGTGGACGGCGATTCAATGAATAGGTATCATTACAATAAAATATTAGTTTATTGCGAAAAATTGGACACTTTAGCCCAGAGCCTTTCCTTCATTGGCCGTCCAGAGTGAAGCGCAAAAGCCAAGTCCTTGAAAGGGTAGAAGTGCTCAATCAATAAAATAACGGGGAAACCTACGAGCACTTGCGATGGTGAAACCGGTGCACACTTCTGCTCGATAACCGTAGCCGACCACACTGATGTTGTGCCCGAGGCGCTATGCCACTAGTGGGAGGCGAGTCACCGTCTGCCAAATATTGAATCTGAGGCTGTTGAGAAGGCGGACATTCGGTAGTCTCATCCAATAGCCCAGTTTTGTAGCCCATCCAAACTCCATTTCATAGACTCTTTTAGTTTTCCATATTTTCCATAGTCCCTACGCATTGTCTGGACCATATTTAAGCAATTCCTTATGGCTTACTCAGAGATGGATGCCGGCATATGCGGATATTAAACCTGTGTCCCCACACAAGTCTTCCAAACAACCGAGCACCTTCGAGCTCGTGAATTCTAAAGAGCAGTGCCGGATTTAACCTTAGTGCCACCCCTGGACAGTATAAAAAGTGCCGCCCTATTATCGTAACTTTGCATAAAATGAATAGTTACGATAAAAAATTTTTTTTTTAAATGCAAAAATAATAATTTATAAGACATTAATTGTTCGAAAAATGTATCTACTAGTTAATCTTTTTTAATTATTCATTTTTTGTGGAAATAAAAAAAGCATTTTCGATAACGTGAAGACTTTTTTCCCCACCCTCCGAATTTTGCTGCCCCTAAAAATTTGCCGCCCTAGCTGCACTAGTCCAGAGGGCCCCTAGTGTGTATCTAGCACTGTTAAAAAGATACAAGAAATGTCCACTATCTCTGAAAAATTATTCAAAATGAGCTAATAGAATCAATGGCAAGTCACGCAAAACCTAAAAATGTTGACAAAATAATTTTGTTTTCTTTGTGCTTGTTAACTTTTCTAAATTTCCAATATACAATTTTAAAACTCTAAATTTATTTATTTATAACTTTTACATTTCTCGTCAAGCATCATCATTAAAAATATTTTCAATTCACATAAATTTCATATAAAACAAGGGTCTCGCAAAAATCTCCTGCCCGGGGCCTCGCAATGGCTAAGGCCGCCCCTGCTCACCGGTCGTATCTCGTGTCGTCCCACCGGAGTATGAGAGTGATAGGAATAGAGAGTGCACTTCTGTCTGCGCGTACACTTGAGCACTATAATATCTCCTGCGCAGTTGGCTAATCTCATTGAGATTGGCCGCCGTGGCCGGAATCGGCTAGGAGAACATCATCAAATAAAAACTACAAAATACCCAAAAACTTGTTTTGAATAAATAATAATTAGAGATATTAGTAAAAACGATTAAATAATTTTAAAAATGCGTTAGGTATAATGAAACAAAATTAATGACAGCAAAAACAGAATTATCAGTTGAAATTAAATAATTATAAATGCGTACATATAAAGCAATTAATACGTCCTTGTGATTTTTTTTTAATTTGTTCACAGATGCTACAAACACTGTACTTTTTTATTGCCTTATTAAATGACATTGTGGGAACAAATGCGGAAACCAACAAACCTTCTATCATCAGAAAAATTAAGGACACCGTCTTTCCTCTAGCCTTTAGTACCGCGATATACGTCACCATAAGTTTTTGGAGCTTATACACTTATAAAAAAGAACTGATAGTCCCAGAAAAAATAGAAAAGCTCTATCCTGCAGCTTTAAATCACACACTGCACACTACTGTATCATTTTTCATGATTATTGAAATGATACTCTCTTATAAAACCTATCCTAACCGATTAGTTGGTTTATCCATGTTGTTTTCATTCATGGTATGTTATACGGCATGGTTTTATACTATCTATGTTATAACAGGGGAGTGGGTGTACCCTATATTTAATATTTTGTGTTGGCCTTTAAGGATCTTACTGTCATCTAGCAATTTAATCTTACCACCGCTATTTTATATTTACAGTGAGAAAATAAATAATTTTATCTGTTCGTGTAACACAGGCGTATACGCTTATAAAACTGTTAAGGAAAAATATAAATAAATGTTTGATATTTGTTGTATATTAAATAAATAATTTATGCTATATAAACTTTTTATTTTTTTTAATTTACCCAATATGACTCAACTCTCTAAGAGTAGCTATGAAGAAGAGTACTAAGGAGTGTGTAACGATCATCTGATTTTCTTTCTCGGCACTGGTGCTAAGTTTCTTTAACTAAAGAAACATTTTTAGCTCGACCCGGGATTCAAAGTCAGACCTCATAATTCATAGTTCTATTAGATTCTAGAGACTGCTGGGCACAAGCCTCCCTTCAATACGAGAGTCATAGTCCACCAAGCTGGCCAAGTGCGGGTTGGAGAACTTCACATGTCCTAGAAAACTTGCTAGGCTCTCTCAGACATGCAGGTTTTCTCCAATATTTTCCTTCACCGTAAAGCAAGTGGTAATTGTATTGGAAATGATTCGCACATGAAAATATCAGAAATGCGAGACCCGGGATTTGAACCCGCTTCACTCGGTTTCCTAAGCGAGCGCGTTACCACTGGGCTACCACTGCTTTAAATGATAAACATAACATGCATAATTGAATAGATAGGAAAATTTTAAAGTAAATGTTAACAAAAAAAAGAAAGATAAAGTAAGACAATAAAAATACGAATAAGCACTCCAAATATAAATACATATAACATATGGAACAGTATAATAAAACAAAACCTTTTTTATTTCTATTTTATAGACAATAACATTTCTTTTTATTTTACTTGGCGGGAAAATATATCAAATTCTCTGGTACAATTATTAGCTAAATGAATCTTGTGCTCAACTGGTCTCAGTTACACTGAAGAAGACTCTTAAATTGTTGAGCAAATAATCTATACTAATATTATAAAGAGGTAAAGTTTGTGAGTTTGTGACGTCGTAGGGGGTAATCTCTGGATCTACTGAACCGATTTAGATGAAATTTGGTATGAAGATAGTTTGAAATCTTGGGAAGGACATAGGATACATTTTATCCTAAAAATCATCACTTAAGGGGGGGAAAAATGGGAATGAAAGTTTGAATGGGGAATCAAGCTAGGGACGAACCCGAGCGAAGCGAGGGTGAGTCGCTAGTATACTATAAATGGAGTAAACTGTAGGAATAACTGTTTATTTTGCTTAAGTAAAAATACTTTTATTATGTGATCTGTGGTTTTATTGTATTTCTTATTATAAATAGTCGTACCTACATTATGTAGAGGTAAAAAAAATCATATTCCGATTCGAATTTATTATTTATCCAGCAATAAAGTTATTCAAAATTACAAATAATATTGATAAAATGTATACGTAGAGTTTATATTAGTGAACTTATAATATTAAATGAGCAATAAAATTTTATGTATCTCGGAAACGGCTCTAACGATTTCGATCTAATTTTGTATTTAGATAAGATTTTGCTTATTAAGTTTATCTATATAGGTGATTTTTCTAAGAAAACACAATTTTTATATCTCATCCGAAAAACGCCGAACGAAGATCTGTCGCCCAGGTACATTTAGTTAGTAGTTTGATTATTACACAAATTACTTATGCCTCAAATCTAAAATTTTGTATTTTTTGTTCAATTTTACTACGCATATTACACACGTGCCTGACCTCGACGAAATAATGTTCAAATCTATTATATTGTCAGAGCAATATATAATCGGCTTAAAACTTGGGATTTAAAATTTGAATAGCTTAGTCAAAGTAAAACGGGTTTCGGGCATTTGTTTCTTATTGTGTATAGACTGGTTGGAGGGTGCAAACGTGCTTCTGTAATAGGCGACTCTCATCTGTACAAGGGTGACCATGTGCAAGATATCCATTTCATCATGATATTCTTCTATAATATTACATAGCTCTTGCATCAAAAATGATCCCTCACTGTCCCTGTACGCCACATAGTCTGAAAAATGAAATGTGTTATGAAGATTTATCAGAAATAACTATGAATGTAAAGCATGATTTGTTATACTGTTTGTTTATATGTATTTTTATTTAGTTTGTTTATTTATATTTTATGCCTTTATGGTCGAATCTAGCTAGAAGAGTAGACGAAGATATTCTACGAAGAAAGTATCAGAAACAAACCGACTAAGAAAGGTGATGGTTTTACACTGATATCGCCAGTGATATCGGAAACTGCTTATATATTTATATGTATACAATATATTTATACCCTATAAATAAAATTAAAAAAATAAAAATATTTTTTTAATTTTTATTTTATTTATTGTTGCTCCAGCGAAGTCGGAAACTGCTTCCGTTTTGATGTTCCGTGATATAATGTTATAATATTTCCTGCATAAAAGTCATAAGAGTTTGCCTTTGCGATGGTCAAAATGTTTTTTGGTAGGTTTGAAAACACGTTAATAAGAGCTAGAGACATAAGTTAGAAGCTTAGTAAAGCTTCTATAAAATAATATTAGTACTTTAGTTTATTTACATTCAAAATAAAGAGAGTTTAAGATAACAATAAGCTATATATAAGAGATAAGTTTCTATGATAAGTTAATTCTTCAATTTCATCGCTTATCTTGAATGCTTGAAATATGAAATATCAAATAACTTTAAGTCATCGTGAGTTCTTTAATAAATACATTCCTTACAAAAATATGTTAAAATATATCTTACTAATTTCCATTTAAAAATACTTACTTTCAACAGTAGAGTATAGAGTAAAAAAATCTGCTTGAGTTGGAATTACAATTGACACTTGACCATCAGTTTCTATTCTTCTTCCATCGTCTTTTTGATCTCCTCTGCAAGCCTTTTTTTGAATATTAAAATAATTAGTTAGAAAAATCCATACTAATATTATAAATGTGAAAGTTTGTGTCAAAGGTGGATGGATGCTTATTACTCTTTCACGCCAGAACAGCTGAACGGAACTGGATGAAATTTGGCACAGAGATAGATTATAGTCTAGAATAGCACATGTTTTTATCTATCGACGAACCCGAAGCAAAGCGGAGGTGAGTCGCTAGTAAAGAATAATATATAATCGTTGTTTATTATTTGTAATTGTAACATTATAAATTACTAGCGGCTCACCCTCACTCGGGTTCGTCCCTAGGTACGGTTTAAATAGATATAAACAGTTATCATCCAGCGTTAACCATATAAATGTTTCTTTTTTTCGTATTTTTTTTGATTTTTTAATATATTATCCTATTCCAGACTAAGAGAAATCCAAAAAATCTAATATCATAAAAATTGATCCAGCCTTTCTTGAGTTATAAATGGTGTAACTAACACGACTTTGTTTTATATATATATAAGATAGATTTCATCTCTTTTTATGCCTCATGTGATAATTTATTCAGCCAATAAAAGTCAGAAGGTGAAGTAAGCGACTTTTGGTTAGTGCCTCAAGTTGCTTTAGTGGGAATGTAAGTAAATCTGTACCTATTTTCTTTTTCGGCAAATTCTGAAGGAATGCGGCTTAGCGACATTTTTCAAAACACCAACTACTTATAATAAAACCAGATCGAACCAATGGGTTTTAAACTACTTAAGAAAAATATTTTTGAACTAGCGACTCAGCCTTGCTTCGCTTGGATTCCTCCCTAGGTTGCTTCCCCATACAAAATTTTATCCCCATTTTCACCCTCTTAAAGTATGATTTCCGGGATAAAAACTATGTTCTTTCCAAGGTCTCAAACTATCTTCTTACCACATCTAAATCGGTTCAGTAGTTTCGAAGCCTATTCGGTACAAGCAAACAGACAAAAACATAAATCTTTCCTCTTTTTAATATAGCATAGAAGATTACTTAATTACCTGTATAAAGAAAAGTTTTGGTTTGCCCACGAGCCCAGCGTCACCGTGTTCGAGCAACACGGTTACTTCTGTAAATAGATACGGTCTATCTGCTGCGAAAAGCTCGCCACCTCTATCCCCGTGTGTCAGGAACACAAAGCACAAACATGAAGTTGACTTATGATCCTTCTGACTTACTGAAAATAAAATATACTTCGTAATTTAATTTCAATCATACTTGTAACTTGTAAGTGATGTGATTTGAAAGCAATAAATAGCATTTGATGGATATCGATCAGATCATTTACGAAAAATGTTAAACAGATTTCAACTTTGTTGATAATTATCAATAAGAATTTTTTTCATTCCATTAATCCCATTAATTTATTATTAATATTATAAATACGAAAGATTGGATGGATGTTTGTTACTCAATTACGCCAGATTGGCTGAACGGATCTGGATATGGCACAGAGAAAGATTATTATAGTCTGGGATAGCATATAGGTTACTTTTTATCCCGGAAAAATGTACGGTTCCCGTAAGATAGGTTTGTTTTAGTTTTTCACAAGAGTCGACCCCAGAGAATCGAGTGTGAGTTGTTAGTTTACAATAAATACTTTGACTGCCAAACTTACTTTCTTTTACTACATTTAATATTTCGCTATGCTCCAAGTCTTGATGCGTCGTCACTTTATAATTCATATCTTGAAATATTTTAGAAAGCCTCCTAACGTCCTCAATAGAGCCTGTCCTCTCTTGTGGCCGCTTAAATCTAGAATATAAAGAAAATTATAAATTGGTAAATAAAAACCTACAACGCATTTTAGATGATATACGGCTAAACGGTAAAAGCCAACCATTCTGTCTGATCCTACCCATAACAAGCATGTTTAAAACAAAAGACGTCATGTCTTCAAATGCATCGACAATAAATGTATTGGAAGACATGACCATTTCACTTCCACTTCTGTATTTCTCATCAAATGATGCAAATGAAATCAGGCAAATGACATTAAAATCTTGATATCGCCTGACCTTCAATTGAGACCTTGTATTTATGGACCAGCTCTACGGTAAGTGCTCAAGGTGTCTCCGATTAACCATAATTAATACCGAGATTATACCACCACTACCCAAAAGCTGTCCAAGTGTTATTTTTTTTTTTTGTTTTCCAGCAAAGTGTTTGCTTGTTTGTCAGCGAATTGCATCGTTAGGCCCAGACATATGTATTTCTAAACAACTTTAAAATTTGTGTTATTCAGTAGGTACCACTGGTTAGAAGATACAATTATCATTCGACTTTATTTTGATTTTATCAAGATTCATCAGTCTTAAATATATTGCATGCTTGCAGTTACTGAAGACGATGACGTGATCAGAGCAAAATTAGATAGGTATATTTTTCAAATTATATTTTATTACTTCATTGCCATCAAAGTGTTGCGTTGTATTAAAAGCAAAAATAGAAGTAGTAGGTAGGTACGGAAAGGCTATTAGTATAAGGAAAATACTTTATAGACTTCGTATAAGTATGTGATAATTATTATAGGTACTATTATAGGTATTATAGGTATAGGTAGGTAATGACAGATTATTTAAATAAAAAGTTAATACCTTCTTATTCGGAACGTCACATTCTGAACAATTTAAAATAACTCAAACAATCAAAATTTCTCATAGGATTTCAGAGTTTTTTTTAATCATTTATTTCAGGCAATATTTTATTTTTTACAAAGAGATCTTAAATATGTAAAGAGGCCCATAGCATAATATATACCTTAAAACTAACATATATATTAATTATAATTATTTAACACGTAGTGCAGACGTGTGAGCTGTGTCGCCCTGCGGCCAGAAGTCCTCCTTCATGAAGGTTGGCAGATGATGATTTGGCGATCTCACCAAAAACGAATTGAAACTCATTTTGTGGCGAGGTACCAGCCGTTAATATTAGAAAAACTATCCCATCCTTACTTACCCGAAATATCGCGTCTTCTGGTACTTGTAATGGTTGAAGATATACAAATACTTTTCGCCGTTCATATCATAGTATGAAATTTCTGGGGCTGACACAGGCTCCGCAAAAACTTTACTAAAACATACATAGGTATAACGCACTAATGGTAAACTAAAATCAAATCAGTTTTTAAATTAAAAATATGATATTATAAATCTACTAGCAACTCACTCTCGCTCCGCTTGGGTTCGTTCCTAGTTACGTTTTAACGTTTAGCATAGATTTCTCAGAGATTAGATATTTTCCCGCAGTAAAAAGTATCCTATATGTTGGACCCGGATCACCAGCTACCATCATACCAAATTTCATCAAAGTCGTTCTAGTGGTTTTTCCGTGATGCGGTAACAGGCAGACAAACAGACAGACAAAAATTCTAAAAACTATAGATTCGACCTCTGTGTCGATAATAATGTCTATTTCAATAAGATTTTCTACAAAATATTTAATGTACAGATTCGGCATAGTTACAATTTTATTATGTGTATAGATAAAAATATCTAATAAATACCAATTAAATATATTAAGTACCAACTATACTAGGTTAAAGTTTTTGCTGGTAGGTTGAATTATATGATAATATTTCTAAGCTTATTATTTACTAATTTAAATACGTATTATAATAAAATATAGGTTTTATTCAAATATTTAGTTAAGTACATATTATGTCATTTCAACCAAGTGACACAAACATTATTTAAAATGCCAGTTATAGGCAGCCCGTACACAGTCAATCTAGATTGAAAACTGAGATCAAAATCAACGATCATGATCCAAATTGATGGTGTACGAAGTAGATTGACGGATTGATGCATCTGATCACAGATTATCTAGATATTTTGAAATCAAGATCGCTACCCGGTGATCGTGATCAAGATTGAACGTGTAAGCGCACGATCGCATCAGTCAACGCAGTGCGCCACCGCCGATCAAACCGGCGAATTCACCTTTACTTCCCCAATTAGAAGAAGATTTCATCATCCTTTTAGAAACTGTACCAGAGCTATGGAATCAGGAATGCCCGGCACGATTATAATAAAAATACAAGCTACAATCTAGATACAAAAAAATTTGCTTCAGCAGTTACGTAGTTGAATTTGCTTTAGTAGAATTAGATGAGTGTAGGTACAATTCACTCTTGAGTAACCACTGTTTAACCCAGCGCCTTTTTCGAATCCCTTTCTTCAAGATTAGGGTTAAAACAAGGGCTTCGACAGCTTTATGCAAATCAGACAACAGATGAAAAAGCGGTTGTTACGATACACGACCTGATGAGATCAAGATTGAACGTGTAACGTTGAGATGCCATCCCGTGATCTGTGACCGTGATCATAATTCATATAACCTAACTCTGAACGCGATCCAGATTGACTGTGTAAGGGCTGCCATATAGTCGACGAAATCATCATCGTTAAAATATAGACTTACTATAAATAACATTTATTATATTCTGGCCTGTGATTTTAAAGTTTATACGAAAAAACAATCCAAAAAAAAACAATCAGCTCTTTCGATTTTCCCATCTTTTATTTTTTACTTAAGTGTAGGAAGTAAAAATCTACAACTTTTATATATAACAATTTTTACATTAACCTTAAAGTTTTGAGATATTTGCAAAAAGGACCGTTTTTTCAATTTTTTCATATATTTTTTTGGATACTATTCGGTCTAACGATCCTACCATTCTCAAGTGATCATATACGCACCTACCTATACTTATCAACAAACAGCATTTCATTTTTAATTTTATATATTTAACTTATTTAATTAGTACAACCTGCAGAAGAAATATTTCTTCAAAATAAAACAAAATTGATAATTTTGATTACCTATTTCTTATCGATCATTTTTTATTAAGTAAGATAATCTGTAACTTACGTCGAATTAGAAGAGTTTATGCCAAATGGCGCATCACTTTCAGTTTCATCCATGATTGAAATCACTACTTAATTTATATTTTCTTTAAAAACAAATCAAACGCCTCCTCTGCGTTTGTTTTAACATACAAAACAAATAACATAAAAAACTAAGCAATGGTTATTATCGTTGTTATCTGTAGATAAAAATTATCAATTTGTAATCAGTAGGAGTGTTCATCATCGATTTACCATCGATGTTGTATTTTAACAATGTAGACATCTAAATGCATAAAACGAGCAAAATCTCAAGAAATATATTTTATTTTTAGTGAAAATTTAGGTTTGTATGTATTTTTTAATGCCGAATCATGAAAATATAAAAAAAGAATTTTTGCCTATAAAATATTTTTTTTGGGGTGGACCACCCTTATCACTTATGGGTATGAAAAATAGTTTACGTCCTATTCTCAGACCTACTGAATATATCAATATACACACAAAATTTCATAAAGATCGGTCAAGCCGTTTCGGAGTTTTGTTACAAACACTGTGACAAAAGAATTTTATGTATTAGACTAGCGACTCGTCCTAGCTCCTCTCGGGTTCGTCCCTAGTTACGTTTTAACGGTTAGTATAGATTTCCGAGAGTAAAAAAGTAATGTAAGTACTAATATCGCTATTAAAAAATAGGGGTTCATGGTAGAAGGGTGAACATTTCGGTTTGTATATATTTTTAATGCCGAATCATAAATAATTTAAAATAAAAATTTTATTCATAAAATAAAAAAAATATATTTTATATATTAGAAGAATATAGATCTACTATTTACTGCAACTTCAGTTATTTTTCAGCATCCTAAAGTATTGTTTTGAGCTAAAAGCTATAACTTATACTTAATCTTTCTGTAAAAGATTTATAGTCTCTAATCTCACAAACGAAACCTAAAACTACAATGATATGTAAAGGTTATTTAAAGAAAACCAAACCCGGTAGGCAGACGTTGTCCTGCCACAGACCTAGTTTGATTGGAAAATTTAAAAAAATATAGACCCCGTAACACCGCCATCTAGCGGATCTTACTTTAGCTAAAAACCATTTAAGTACTAGTACACAAAAAAAATCATTAAAATCGATTAGGCCATATTTAATAATAATAAAGCTATAAAATTCAAAAGCACTTGTAATAAGTATAATTGAATATAGTGTATTTCATTTCATTTCTAATATAAAGGATATTCTTTACTAAAGTTTTAAATGAAAAGCAGTAGTTCAGTAAAAAAGAAATTATATTTTAACATCAGATTCAAACCCCTTAATAATAAATGACAATTCTTCATCAATCACTTTTCTTCGTTTGCCATTCCTCTTCTTCCCAGACCATTGAACAGTTGATATATTCATTTTCTTAATCAATTGATTATAAATACAACATAAACTTTGATAAAAATGTATAATTGTTGAAGCACCTTTTATATAATTTGCAAAAAATTTTGATGGATCTACTTCTTTCTCAAGTTTCAATGCAATATTATAGATAAAAGTTCCATTATAACATTTAGAATAAAATGTACTTTCAAAAGGCATTCCGCATAATATATTTAGAGAATTAACTTGATGTAACGTGCACTGGAACTGAGCAAACGAATGAATTTTCCTTTTATCATAACTTTTAGGTCTTTTTAATATGCTACTATCAATTTCAAAATGCTTTAAAAGAGCGCTAGCAGCAATAAGGCAGTCTTCATACTGGACTTTATTTTTATTAAGGAAAAGCTCATTTTCTGTTACAATTGAAGTGTTTTCTTTCTTTAACTCCTCCAGCTTTTTTCCATGCTTGTTGTTAAAGTGATAATGTCCACGAGGCATCCCTGTTTTATCATCAATCACCTCCAACATTATGTATGATATAATTATACTATGAACATGGTTTGCTGGTACACTACAATTTGCAATCCACCAGAGCACAGATATCATAATTAATTGAAAATTACCTGGCAATAATTTAATGTTTTCCCAGTCTAAATTTGGAAGTTTTGTATCAAAAAAATGTAGAAAATATTGTCTTAATTGTGCATTGTCAAGCTCTTGAAATGATATATCTAATGGGCGTGGTATGGAATAGTCTTTAGTCACTTGAATTTTGTGATAATTACAATTTTCCCTACTTACGTAAACAAAATAATCATAAGAAAAATCTGTGAGAATGTCAAATGCGTATCTTACAAAAGGCAGCACACTAAGAAAACTATCATTATCTGAGTAATCTTCTGCTTGTGGATTACATAAATGTAAATGATGAGCATATAAATTTAAGTACACTTTTGGTATTTGATTTTGCCTAATCTTTTCTGAAAACCATAAAGGGATATTATTTAAGTTTGGATCAGATTTATTTTCATCCTCTTCAGTGCTGTCTTCCCCAGATTTATCTGAATCTCCGTCTTCGTAATTTAAGTCCTCATTAACAACCTCGGGCATTTTTAAATCAAATTTTGGAGAAATTTCTTTAGATAAATTGAAATATTTTAAAGAAGGACAGTAATTACTGTGATATCCATCGATACTTTTTTTCATAATTTTAAATACTTTATCCTTTTGACGTTTTTTAAGTCTACCCAATATTTTTGCAATGGCCGAGTCCAGTGTCTCATTCTGAAGCCAATTAAACAATGCCTGTATGCTTCTTTGCTGATCATTTTTCTTTCTTTTGCTTTTTTGTAATTTCAACTGAGAAAAGAATTTTCCAAAAACTTTCTTTTCTACATAATCATTTCCTAGTAAAGTTGCTAACAATGGTAATAATTCTTCCTTAAGACTGCCAGAACTTTCACAAAGGTATAGTACTTTATATAGTTTACACTCCATAACATGTACTTTACAACCATCTTCCTCTATTGGCTTTGGTTTTGTTTCCAATAAATTAAATGGAATATATAGAACATTGTAAATAAAGAAATCCGAATCATAGCTCAGTACTGGACAGTTTAAGTGTCTTGCCAATGATGCAATTTCATCATCAGCTTCGAAAATGCATATTGTATAATTAATTTTCATATCTCTAAGGACCTCAATAAATACATCTCGAACCAAAAACGGAAAAATTTGTAAATTACCCTGAGTAACTGGGTCTAAGTGACTGCAGCTCTGCAATTTAGATCTGAGACGACTAAATATGGTCTTTAATTTTTTATTCTCATGACAACCATCAAATAATACATATGCAGTCACATTACATTTCCGTAGGTTCTTAAAAAAAGTTCTAACACATGATGCGAATTTATCATAATCACCTCCAAATGCAGAAAAACTGTTCATAGATCTGTATAATTGAGCACACAAACTGTGACCATCTATAATAAGGTTTGTATTGTGTAAATAATGTTTTTTCAAAAAAATGTTTTGGTTATTATTAATATACGTAGTCAAACCTTTGACACCCATTATTTAAAAATATATTTCCTATCATATCTTTTTTATATACATATTCCTAAATCCTAATGCACTTATTTATTTTTTAAGTTTAGGTTATAATGTTGTGAGTTGTGACATTTGCAACATGTGTTTGACATTGACATTTGCATTAGACTGTACAGTTACACTCACGCCGAGATACCTCGAGATATGGCATTTACGCGAAGTGTGGGACTTACCGGTGAAGAGCACTACCCACTAAAACCCAATGAAATTGTCATAATGGGGCGTCGCAGGATCGCTTACGCATTCAACTACGACGCACTGACGGCATTATGCTCGGGACCACAACAAAATTTATTAAATGTTATTTTTTTCGAAAACTAGTCATTAGTTTCGGATGCCTCCTTGATAAAACTGCTAACTATCAACAAAACAATTAACTACGCTTAAAATATTAGATCTGCACAAAGGTTTAAAAAATTGGTAATTTTTTTGCAAAAAATAACATTTTGATGAGAACTACCCACTAACTCTTCTGTCTACCTCGCCTCGCCTGCTGTCGATTCTATGAAGGTTTTGAGGCTCCGAGGTCTTGACTCCTCATGTTGTAAACGCATCATTTTACTCTCATTCTTCAACTAAGTGTAAGTATTTTTAAATAGTTTCCATTGCTAAATTTAAATAATGTTCAACAACGTTTATTTGTAAAAAGTTGTAAAATAAATAATTTAATAGAAGATAATACACCTTAAGTATATTGTAATTTCCAGGACCCAGGTTGCTTTACTATTAGAGAATAGTGGTAATTTATACTTTACTTTCAAAAAAGATAAAGGATATTTTAGTCTGCTAAGTATCTTTTGCCACTAATTGTTTTCATAACTTTTTTCTTTCTAAACTGGTGGTAATCTTGTGACATTCAGACGTTGTAATATTTTAATTCTGAATTAAAATAATTAGAATTTTAACATTTTTAATTAATTGTGCATGCATGTAAAAATATACCTGCTGTAATTTTTCATATATCAGATTCTTCGGCTCCAGCATGCGCAACACAACCGTAATCGCTGGCTGTCAAGCTGCGCAAAAGCGATTTATCGATCAAATTGATGGTAAGAGGTGGGGCGCGGGTCGGTGGAGCACGCGCCGCATCTTTGCCGGCGCGCTATTGGTTCGTCAGTTCGATATACCATCGCGCACACAGAAGCTTTTAATTACGAAATGCTTTTATATAATATAGAAGAGAGAGAAAAAATATTTTTGACGTATATTGTTTTATAAAGAGAGAGTCTAATAATAATGCAGTTAATAATTTAAAAAAATGTATTAAACGTATTAATTTAGTTTTTTTCTAAGTAGATTTAACATTCTACATTGAATCAAACATATTTTAATATTGATTAGAATTTTATTTAATGATATTCTATCTAATATATTTTTCAATGTATAACTCGCGTCATGTAAAACGAACGAAGTATTGGTGGTAAGTGGTGCGGCGCGTTATATAGAAAGATTAAAACATTTTACACTGAAACGAACATGTTTTTAATTCTATTTAATGATAATTCTATTTAAAATAAAATAAAAAAATAATATTTTTATAAAATATATTCTTCAATGTCCCTACCAATAACTAATATATGAAACCGCGAGCGAAATGCTATGAAAAATAAAATAATAGGCTTAGTACTTTTGTGCGCGAGTATACCCATGTGCAAACATACCCCCTCCACTTTCTTCCAGCGTTCTTTTTACAAGACGCGAGTTATATCTTATAATACTGTCTCGTACGAGAGTATGATATTTAAATATGTAATCCATTTAATGTCTCATTGTAGTATCTCTTACTACTCTGTGGTCCCTCCGCCCTCCCCCAACTCTGCGACCCGCATCTCAACCAGTGTAGCCAACTTAGGGGTTTTCCTCCAAATTTAGGGGGAAAAAATTGCACCAGGGGTTTTTAGGGGAAAAAGTTTAGGGGGTTTTATAGGAGAACAAAATTAGGGGTTTTTTTGGGTTTATTTTTTTAATAGCATGACTTAAATATAAATAAAGTTTCGTTTAAAGACTTGGAAAAATTATATCCCTTTTTTACTATTTTCTTAGTTATCTATGGAATTACCATTATTTTTAAATGGTTATATGTAATTATTTTTTGTTTTTACGCTATTTGGAATCATTTAAAATAAAAATATATATTTAAAAATTTAAAAAAATAATATTAGATAAAAACAATATATTTTTCCAATAGACTTTTTGACTGGTTTCTAGAAACCTTTTTAAATTATTTACTGGTTTTACTGAGCCTACAAAAACTGTTAATTTGTAACACTTATAAGTATATTATCAAAAAATAGCAATTAAAAAAGTACAATTCAAATAGGCCGTTGAAACGCAGCATGGCGTCAGTGACGTCACAAGGAGTTATAAATATAAACAATGAACTGACACAACCCAAGTTGAGTTACCGTTCATTTTTGTTATTAAGCATTATATCCAATAAAGGAAATGTATAATAGTAGGGGAGCCCAAGAGGGGATTTTCTGTAGTTACTCGAGCGCGGCAGATTAACATAAAAGAGGTTACCTTGCACTCTATTGAGTACTTTCACCACAATATAAGTCTTCTATATAAAGGGGCGCGTCTAGGGAAGCCGATTAAAATATTTAAAAAATGTTTTGATAAAGCCTAAGAGGCAAAAATCATCATAAACTTTCTAGTCGATTTTTAACTGCCTCCGTGGTGTAGTGGCTAGCATGTACGGCTGCACACCCGGAGGTCCTGGGTTCGAGTCCCGGGTCGGGCCAAGTTTAGTTATTGAGTCTTTCTGTATAAGTAAGCCTCAGTAACAGCCCGGAGTTGGGAAGTTGGCGGTGTTTCACCCCCGTGCCTCGGAGAGCACGTAAAGCCGTCGGTCCTGCGCCTTAACTCTCACTGGTCGTGTCGAGCAGTCGTCCCACCGGAGTATGAGAGTGACAGGAATAGAGAGTGCACTTGTGTCTGCGCGTACACTTGTGCACTATAATATCTCCTGCGCAGTTGGCTAGTCTCAATGAGATTGGCCGCCGTGGCCGGAATCGGTCGGGAGAACATCATCAGTCGATTTTTGCCTCTTCGGCTTGTGCAAATCGGCAGATTATTGAATTGGACACTTTTCAGGATGTGACTATCTTACCACACCTTAATCTGACGGTTTCAAGTATTTCTACCTTATCAAAACATTTTTTAAATATTTTATTCGGCTTCCCTAGACGCGCCCCTTTATATAGAAGACTTATATTATGGTGAAAGTACTCAATAGAGTGCAAGGTAACCTCTTTTATGTTAATCTGCCACGCTTGAGTAACTACAAAAATCCCCTCTTGGGCTCCCCTACTATAAATGGTGTGTAGTGCCAGGGTGCACAAATACTACTATAACAACACACAGCAATAATGATGATGAAATGGCAATGACAGGCTGTCAGTACTCATTGACAGACATGTTATTTGATAGCTTGCTAACCCATGACGACATTATAGAATTATACGGTCAGGCGTCAGCCAATCCAGATCGTTTTCAATCACGTGATAGTAGAGAAAAATAAATTAAGTTTTTAGAGGCTTAATTACACATATAATAACATAGTTTTTTCACCTAATTATATAAATCGCATTTAAAATACATGCCCTACGCGGATTTCAATAAATAAAACAGTATTTTTCTTACTGTCAAATAGCCTATTGTCACTTAGGGGGTTTTAGGGGTTTTTGAAATTAATTTTAGGGGGATAAAATTTCAAGTGTTGGCAGCACTGATCTCAACGTTGAACGCGACGTGCCGACTGCCGGTGAATGCATGTGGTAATTAGTTTTGAAAAACACGTGCTTTTCAGTGCTATAATATTGTCTTTTTAAGTATAAGATTACGTCAAACAGTGTTAAATCAATATTATTGTTAGAACATACTCTTACTTCTTAAAGTACAGAAGTTCAGTAAATTGCGCCACAACCCCAACGTTGACACGCTTGTGTGTAATACATACTTGATTCGAGAACCTATTTATTGAGATGACTGAAGAAAAAGAGGTAGTCCCTGAAAGCAATGGCCAAGAGAATAATAAAGAAAACAATGCAGAAGAAGAAACTGACCTGGAAATGGCCATTATCCGCCAAGTGGAATATTACTTCGGTACGTCAACTACAAATATATAATCAATAATTTTTATTACTTTGTATCCATTCTCTTCATTTTAGCTGAATTGTTGTTGGTTTCTTAAATAACTATAAGCTTGTTTTTATTTATATTCAATGAGTAGATTCAAGCATATTTAGCAGCTTTAAATTTGAAACTTACATAAAAATTTTAGAAATTGAAATAATTGAGAATTAATACGGATATCAATTCCTAATGTGCTAGAAAATGTAGTAAATGTCTTAACACTAAGAATTGTCAATCTAATGGTCATTGGAAACAAATATTTCTTGCATATTTATAACTTTTCTGTAATTGATGCACATAGTATATATTTTATTCTATAGTTAAACTATAAATAAAAACATATTCATTAACATTAATAATTATTGGTTTTAAATTAAAGGTGATGTTAACTTGCCGAGAGATAAATTCCTAAGAGAACAAGTAAAGTTGGATGATGGCTGGATACCATTAGATGTACTCATAAAGTTCAACCGCCTCGCCAAATTATCAACAGACATAGAAGTAATAGTCAATGCGCTCAACAAATCTTCATCTGGTTTACTTGAGGTGATTATTAACAAATTTTCTATATAATATGTGTATAAGGATTATTGGATGGGGATAACTTGTGGGAATTTGGAAAAAAACTGAGAAGAATCAGTGATTGATGAAGGACAAAAACCTATTAGATATTTTTAAAAATATTAAACTCTTAACTTAATATAACATACCATACACATTATTTATAATTGTGTCAATAATTGTATATGAAATTTTGTATCATAGCAGAAATAATGGTTTTGCATATTTTTAATTTATAACTTATTTAAATATATTGTCTCTGTAGCTGTCAGATGATACCAAAAAAGTGAGACGAAATCCTGAGCTACCAATACCAGAAATGAATGAAGAAAGACGCAAAGAACTAGCTGCCAGAACCATCTATGCTAAAGGTTTCCCAAAGGACTCCAATTTAGATGACCTTCTAAAGTATTTTAAGCAGTTCGATGAAGTGGAAAACATAATCATGAGAAGATATCAGGACCGACAAACAAAGAAACGGCTTTTTAAAGGATCAGTCTTTGCCACATTTAAGACTAAAGAACAGGTATGAATTTGCTATGTTATAATCAAATATAAAAATGTAAATATGTTGGGACATTAACACACAGCACCATCTTCTTTCATGGTGTGCTACGAGGATTGTTTTATGGAATTATCAGCGGGACCCGTGACCACTGACCACTGCAAATGGTCACTACAAACAGCCAAATATGTCATCAAATCAAAATAGTTTAATGATCTTATTTTACTGACCTAATCTCATTCATGTCTTCTCTGAGCCACATGATATTGGTGAAGGAATCTCTGCTCAACCAGCACATTTAGAACCCATTAACTCTTGTTAATTATATACACTAACAAGAGGATTGAATTGAATTTGCTATATGAATAAAATGTCTTTTTTTTTAATTTGGTTTTTAAATTGAAAAAAAGGCTTATTGAATGCATTTTTTTTATTAAATTATGATTATTTCTGTCTTCTAACAACTATGTAATAGAGTAACATGTTATATTTTTTGATATTCTTAAATAACATTATGTATTTTTTTTATTTATATTATTTTAAAGCTTGTTTTGACATGGTAGTAGAAACACAACATATTCACATTTAATCTGTGCAGGCTGAAAAGTTCGTTGAGACAAAAGGTTTGAAATACAATGATGCTGAACTTATAATTCTTTGGCAAGAAAACTATCTGCAGCAAAAGCAAGAAGAGTATGCCTCCAAGAAAGAGAAGAAAGACAAAAAACATAAACAAAAAGAGGTATTGTGTATTAATATTTTATTATTATTGAAAAAATAGAATATTTCTCTTTATAACGAAATAAAAAATTGAATGTTATTTTCAAATTGTAGATAAATTATAATAAGATAAATATCTTAAAACATCAAGCTAAGTGTAATGTATGTATAAAATACAGCAGTAAAAAGTATCCTAAATGTTGACCTGGATAACCAGCTATCACTATATGAAATTTCATCAAAATCTAAGTGGTTTTCTTGTAATGCGTTGCCAGACGTCTAAAAATTCTAAAAACTAGATTCAACCTCTGTATCGTTATTAATAACTTTTACAATAAAAAAAAAAATCAAATATATTATGTACAGATTCAACTCAGTTAAAATTTTATTATATGTATAGATATATATAGAATATAGATAATAATTAAATATTATTATTATATTGCTATTGTATCATTATAATAATCATATAATTTTACAGCAAAAGGAGGAGAAAGACGACTTCAAGCTACCAATTGGAACAGTGTTGCACTTTAGCCAAGGTCATGATAAAATGTCACGAGAAGATGTTAAAGAAGCTCTAACACCTCTAGGTAAAATTAATATTTTTATAATGTATTTCATAATTTCAGCAAATAGTTACACGCCAGAGAAACTTATAGGTAGCTTTTTATTTTTCTTCATGAAATGTAATATACATCTATATTCTATACTAATAATATAAAGAGGTAAAGTTTGTGAGTTTGTGACGTTCTTCTTCTTCTGACGCGGCTTTTTCCGCACTTAGGCATCCTTGCCCGTTGTGCGTGAGCTTGTGCTGCTGTGTGTGTTATTCTTTCTATCCCAGAGCGTCCCAGTAGTCTAGCAGGCTGCCGGTGTCCTGGAAGATTTCTGGGATCGATCTATAGGGGCCGAGTTTTTCTTCGAGTAATTGTTCCAGTGCTCTACATTCAGTTAGAATGTGTGCTGGTGTTTCATCTTCTTGGAGGCACGCTCTTAGTAGGGTGCTGTCCGTGTGACCTATGTTAAAAAGATGTTTATTGAGTTGGCAGTGTCCTGTTATCAGTTCCACCACCGTTTTTAGTTTGGGTCTATCTAGGCGTGTTAGTTTCATTGTTAATTTTTTGTTTAGTGTGGGGAAGGCTTCTTTCGATTGACGGCAATCTGTGTTAGCCTTCCATAATGTGTTAACTGTGTTATCGGTGAAGTCTCGTAACCATGTTTTGTATTCACAATATGGAATTGGAGATAGAGGTGTAGGCCCCTGAACTTTCAGTCTAGAGGCCTGTTTGGCTAGGTAGTCGGCAGTTGAGTTGCCTTTGTTATTTGTGTGACCCTTTACCCAGGAGACCTTTACTGTGTTAGTATGGGAAAGGTGTTCCAACATTTTGTGACATTCTAATATGTATTTAGATTTTGTTGTGTTTTTAGTTAGTGCTTGTAAAACCGTTTTGCTGTCGGTTTTTATGTGTATTATTGAATTTTTTATCGATTTATTTAGTAGTTCTTGTGCTCCAATTGTGATTCCAACGCATTCTGCTTGTAGCACTGTGTTGTACATACCCATATGATGGTTGGTTTTGATATTGAGAGTAGGGCAGAATATACCTGCACCTACTCCTTCCTTGGATTTGGATCCGTCTGTGTAGATGGTGTGGATTGGTACCATTGTTGGGCTGTTGTCTGCATTTCCGTCATCTGATGGGTTTATAGTATAATGTTTTTCTATGATGTGTGTTTTACTTATTCTGTCGTTTGGCCATTTGATCTGTGGAAATTCTGCCTCATAGATGTCGAGGATCTTTGTGTGTTTGCCCAGATTGCGTTTCCATGAGTTGACTGATTTTAGTCTTAGAGCTGACAGGGCAGCTTCTTGTTTTATGAAAATGTGTAGAGGTGGTATGCCCAGAATTATTTCTAGGGCAGCCGATGGAGCGGTTTTCATGCAGCCTGTTACTGCTAACGTGGCTGTTCTTTGGAACTTTTGAAGTTCGTTTTCGATTGTGTGTAGTTCGGTTCTGGGCCACCAGACTACACTGGCGTAGGTGAGGGATGCTCGTACCACCGTGGTGTAGAGCCAGAGCATTGTTTTTGGTGTAATGCCCCATTGTTTCCCTACCATGCGCCTGCATTGGTTCAGTATCATGTGGCTTGAGGTGATTTTGTTGTTTACGTGTGTGTTCCAACTGAGTTTGCTGTCAAGTGTTACACCTAAATACTTGACTTCATTTGATAATTTCAGTTTTTCGTTGAATAATGTTGGCATTTTTGTTAATTTGATCTTGCGTTTCGTTGTGAAAAGCAGTAGTTCCGTCTTTGCGGGATTAATTGATAAGTCGTTTTGTATGCACCAGTTTTCTGCTATATTAAGGGCGCTTTGCATTAGTTCTCCTAGGGTGGCTTCAATTTTACCACTTATTAGAATGGTTATGTTGTCTGCATAGCCAATGACTTGTAAGTTTACCACAAGGTTCCATAGTAGTGGTGAGAGGACACCCCCTTGTGGGCAGCCTCTGGATACTAGTCCTGTGAGGTTGTCGTTTGTTTCTGTGTGAATTATGCGTTTGCTCAGCATTTCGTTAATCCACGATATTAAGATCTCGGGGATCTTGTATTTGTTTAAAGCTGTGTTTATGCTTTTGAAGGTTGTCTTGTCAAAGGCTCCTTCAATATCTATGAAGGCTCCCAATGTGTTTATTTTATTTGTTAAATTGACTTCGATAGTACTTACTACTTGATGGAGCGCTGTTTCTGTGGACTTGCCTGCCGTGTATGCATGTTGGTTTTCGTTTAGAGGTATAGTTGTCAGAGTGGTTTCTCTGATGTGTCTTTCGCAGAGTCTTTCTAGGGTTTTCAGGAGAAAGGATGTTAGGCTTATGGGCCTGAAGGCTTTGGGTTGCGAGTAGTCTGCCTTGCCTGGTTTCGGTAGGAAGACTACCTTGACGTGTCTCCAGAAAATAGGTACGTATTTTTGCAGTAAGCAGTTTTTGTATATGTCTATTAACCAGGGTTTTATTAGGTCGTAGCCTAGTTGTAGTAGTGCGGGGAAAATGTTATCTGTTCCCGGTGATTTGAATGGTTTTGAGCTGTCAATAACCCATTTGAGTTTGTCGTCAGTGATTATCGAATTTACTGTTTGTATCTCTTCATTTGTTGGTGTTCTGAATTTGTGTGGTTCTTGGTGTATGGTGTTATATTCCACCTTGCAACCTGGGAAGTGTGTTTTCAGTAGGATTTCTGTTGTTTCTTTGTCTGAGCATGTGTATGTTCCATCAGGTTTTTTGACTGTGCCTAGTGCACAGAACTTGTCTTTGGAGATTATTTTCCTTATCCTATTGGCTTTGAGTTTGTGACGTTGTAGGAGGTAATCTCTGGATCTACTGAACCGATTTAGATGTAATTTGGTAAAAAGATAGTTTGAGATCCTGGGAAGGACATAGGATACTTTTTATCCCGGAAATCATCCCTTGTGGGGGTGAAAATGGAGATGAAAGTTTGTTTTGGTAAGCAATAAAACAAAGTATTATATAAAACTTAAATGTAATATGCAAACTAATTAAATATGCCATTACCATATTGATAGAATATAATATATAGATATAATGCAAATTTATTTTTTGTTTCAGGTGGCGAAATTGCCTACATTGACTTTAAAGTGGGTGATACTGAAGGCTGGGTGAGAATGGCCAAAGAAAATGTAGCGAAAGAAGTGGCGGAAAAAATAACAGATGGCAAAATAAAGATTGGCGATTCAGAAGTAGTCTTCCGTGTGCTCGAAGGCGATGAGGAAACGACTTACTTGGAGAAAACTGTAGAAGAAATGTCCAAACGACGCAAAAATATGAAGAACTTTAAACAAAATAAGAACAAGAATTTCAAAGGAAAACAAGGTAGAAAGAGAAAGCAAGGCCACCATGAGGACGCCCCACCGAGTAAAGTCAAAGCTGACAGTTAGTTTAATATTTATAAGGGTACATGATACACTAATTCGATTTATTAAGCTAAATATATCCATAGTGGATAAAAGAAGCAATACTATATAGATAATGTCATTACCTAGTAATGTCTATATTTAATGCTAATTTTTTTCATATATTTTCAATTATTATAAATATCATGTACCCATTTTTTCATTATAACCTTTTTAAGCGTACAAAGGACTTAAGGAGTGTGTAGACTTTGAGTCGGTGTAAGCTATTCTCGTGTTAACAATAGGTACCATATAAAACAATTGTTGTTAAATACATTGATATAAAACGATATTGCGGCTGCAGTTTAGTATTGGGGGCTCGGCCCCTGGCAGAGTGGGTGGTATTTTTGGATAGGGCAGCTAATAGGGAGTCCAAATATATAAAAATTATTTTGAGGAAACAAAAGAGTCAAAAGTTATTGAGACTTAAAGTTACAACATTTCCATACATTATTTTGACATTACTACCATTTAGACACTTGGAAATGTCAAAACGTCACTTTCAATTGTCAAAATGATCTCCAGATGATTGTCTTTATTTGTACTTTGCGTGAAATTCGAATTTTCTAGTTTTCTAGTCATTTATGGCTATGGTAACTGTTCTAACCTAACCAAGATATGACAAATAATAAATAAATAATATTTTTCTATTTATTTATTTATTATATTTTTCTATTTATTTATTTATTTATGAAAATAATATTTTTCTATTTATTTATTAATATTACCAACAGAAATGGCAAAAATAATCAAATATAATCTGTTGTCATTTAAGCGGTAATGTAAAACAAAGTGACAGTTTTGCTTTTGTCAAAATGTAAGATCATTTTGTTTGTGTTGTTGTGAAATTATTAAAATATTAAAAACAATAAAGCATTAATTGTTGTGAAAATATGTATTGTACATAAAAAAGGATGCGTACTATTCGTTAAAGGTATGTTTATCTGTTGTAATCACTTATTTAGGTAAAGAAATGTATGGAAATGTGTTAGATATGTTATAACTTTAAGTCTCAATAACTTTTTACTCGTACATTTCCTCAAAATATTTTTAATATATTTTGACTCTGTCACCTCCCTTATCTAAAAATACCACCCACTCCGAATGGTGGTAAAGAAATGTATGAAAATGTATGGAAATGTTGTAACTTTAAGTCTCAATAACTTTTGACTCTTTTGTTTCCTTAAAATATTTATTAATATATTTGGACTCCCTATCACGTCCCCTATCCAGAAATACCACCCACTCCGCCAGGGGCCGGGTCCCCAATACTAAACTTGTGCCGATATTGCTTTAGTTATATTCAAAATAAACACTGAACATGTGATTAAATTTGTATTTTACTTTACTGGTCTTTTTATTTTTTAATTAAGAATACCTTAAAATATATTTACGCATGCCATCTGCATACGTACATACAGTTGGTTAAGCTGCGTTGACACGATCAAAACCTGTGACAAAGTAGTGTTGATAACTACTTTGTTCATGTAAAAAAACAATCAAACTTTCAAAGCGCAATTTCAAACGTTATCAAAGTAAACTTCATTTCAAAGCTTTTTGTCAAAGCAGACATTGAGCGTGTCGATAGGTATCCAAGTAAACTTTGATCAAAAAGCTACATTGTCAAAGCAGACTTTGAGTGTGTCAACGCGGCTTTAAGTAGATACACACGGGTTAGAAAAAACCATCTCCGATAAAATCGAACAAAACCTCCCCCGTCTTAATGGGGTATCGCGGGATCCAGACCACAATAATCAAGGTATTGCTCCCACGATCAACTCTTCTATCAGAGAAGTATCAGAAGCAACCCGTATGGCACACCTCCCAAGGCAAGGCGTGTCTTGGCTTCACGCCGGGTTGGATTGCCGGAAGCTTTAGGCATTGAGGCATTACTACGATAAGGAACAAATGATTACGCTTTGAGTTAATTAAAAAAACCTGTCTACCTTTAGGTGTGTAGGCACAATAATAGACAATAGTTATTTGTTTTGGCAGTTTTGTTTATTTATATCTATGGTTTTGTCTATGGATAAACAATGAAAATAACGTCTTTTTTTTCTTTAATACCTCGTCTGTCGATCGACCTTTTAAAGGTCGATGTCAAAAACACCCCTGTCTGTCAAGCGACCTTTTAAAGGTCGATTGATACCGATGTCATTTAATGTGTGATTTCTCGCATTTAAACTATATTTATTTTTATCTAACTTTTGTAACGTGTAAAGAAAAATACAAGCAATAATATCATACTACATGTCAAAAAGTAATAACTCCAATAACATAAATTATTGTAATTTGTGCAGACAATTTATTTAAATTTTGGCGATCTTTGAACTCAATACTTGTAAGTAAAAAATTAACAAAATAGTGTAAAATTATTAGTATAAGGATTGGAATATGATGGAAGGGTAAGTAATTAACAGTTTTAAATTCATAGGATGTGTATTGAATAGAGATTTTATACAGAAATTGTTATATTTGTCAAACATCGTAAGCATTCACGCGCGCTTAGTCCTTATATTTTCACTTTTTCTGAATAAAAAATACACTAGTGATAGCATAATATTTTTATTAACATGATTTAAATTTATAACTAAATAACTACGTATAATTGAATTTGTAAATTTTCTATTAGATTTTAAGTAATTAATAATATAACCCCTCAACTGTCGCTGTCATTTTACAAAAATATGGCGCATCTGTCGGCTACTTTTCGAGGGCTTGCGCGAAATATGTACGCATCATTAAAATAACAATATTTATTAAAATTTTATATATAAGCTATATATAAAGCTTATATCGTTAGAATCGTTTTAAAATAAACTAAGAATACATATATAAATAAGATCAATTGTATTTAATATTATATAGTTAATTCTAAGTTGAAATTACTGTAAGTGATTTTTTATCAGTATATAGTATTAAAACAGGAATTATTATAAAATAAAACTATTATTTTAAAAACTTTTAATTTCATTTAATTATAGATACAATATTTTATATTAATTGATTAAAACAACACAACTCACTGTACATTTTTTTTACACCACAAGCTTAACAATAACATGTTTCAATTATGGCGACTTAGCGCCGGATAAAAAAGAGGTGTTTTTTATACTTGAATTCTAAGAGCATTGAAGATCAAGAGATTTAGGATAATCATTTATATTATAGTTTAGTCCACGTACGTTATACTGACAAAGTTTGAGTTCTTATAACTATTTAATTTACGAGAATTGAACAATAAACCAAACACTAGAAAATAAGTGCTAAAAAATGTCATCTCAAACTTTGGATCGCAGAGCAAATTCTGTTTAAATTTTCTTTAAAATATATTTACACCTTACAATTAAGTGATATTTCAAAATGAAAAATAGAATAAAAAGACATGTTGCCGTATTAGAATATTTCAGAAATCAATTCTGTAAACTAACAATTTTACTATAAGAATTACAAGGGACAGCTAAAAAAGTATGGATACGACCAATTCCATCACATCTGAACAGATTATGTTATGGAAATAAAATGATAATAAAACATCAATTAAAATTAAACAACTTCAAATATTAATTCGGACAGGAATTATTTTTTTTCTACTGTTTTTAACCTCCGACGCAAAAACTACGGGGAGTTATTTGTTTGACGTGCTGTGTGTTGTGTGTGTGTCTGTCTGTGGTATGGTAGCTCCCGAAGAGATCATCCGATTTTGTTTTTGTTTTTTCTCTGAAAGGTAAATAATTCGGAAGTGTTCTTAGTTATGTTTGATGAAAATCGGTCCAAGATGGCCGCCGCCACAAAATTATGGATTACATATTTTGTCACAACTCCCTCAATATGGGTATCAAATGAATTAGGCTTGACTAGTATAATTTTCGAATCCAAGATGGTCGCCACCACAAAATGGTGAATTACATGTCGGGGTTACTTTTAAATTTTTCATTTATATTTTATAAGATTGAAGTATTGTGCCAGTTACTGTATTGAGTATTTGATGGACTCCATAGTTATAGTAGTAAAAAAAATATAGTAGAGTATAAAAACTTTGTAATTAGTACTCACAGTTGTTTTAAATCTGAAGTACAAAATTTTGGATGCCTTTTGTTAGGTAAAGGACACTTTTTAATGAATATTGCTTGCAGGTAGAGGCTTTTATACATATTTATTTTAAATGAAAAAAAAAAGATGAACACCTATCCTAAAAGCAACAAATACTTATTATTACTAAGTAAAGATACATAAGTAACTATACTAACCTCCTCCCATATAATGTTCACCACGTCTTCGATGTTCAGTCACGTCGTCGAAACGAACAAAGGCGTGGTATAATATATAAATCAGATATTTTCGAAGTCAGTTCCAGCCGATGCAAAGTAAATCTAATATATTTCGATACATAAAATTCATATTTACGTATTAGATATTTATATCTTAAAATATTGTCGGCTGGCACCGACTTCGAAAATATCTGATTAGGTATCTATTCTAAATGAAAACCTTTTTTTTTTTTTTTTTTTTTTTTTTTTTTTAACGTTGGGAAATGCATTTACGCACGAAGTGTGGGACTCACCGGCGAAGCCAGTACTACCCACTAAAACCCAACAAAACCTTCCCCCGTCTTAATGGGGCGTCGCAGGATCGCTTACGCATTCAACTACGACACCCCGACGGCAGGTCTGCCGAAGCAGACCACAACAACCATGGGGTTGCTCCACGGTCCACTCTGCTATCAGAGAAGTACCAGGAGCAACCCGCATGGTACACCACCCTCCGAAGAAGGCCGCCTCCCACCGCCCACCGAAGTGGGCCATTCTAAATGAAAACCTCCGTTAAGCTATTTTTTTACATTTTAGTGCCTGGAAGTCGGTTTTTTTTTAATAAACAGTTATTTATACTACACCCTTGTTCGCTTTCGCTCTATGGGGTACATTGCCTACAATTGGTCTTTCTTGTTTACCCTCCGATCATAATATTGTAATCTAATAAGG